GCTCAGATTTGACAAATATTTTGCTATATAAAATGCTATCGACTCATTTGAACCACGACACGGCTGCACATCCATATTGCCCTGCCATAGTTTTGATAATGTAGGATTATATGTATTAACCCATCTTTCTCCATTTCCTCTCTTCTACGGCCGCCATTTTGTATAAATTCGTTAGACTGTGGTTCAGCAATATGAGTTTCAGCACAATTTTTCCGAGGAAAGTTGAATCGGACGTTGTATTATTCTTCTTACACATATTAGTGTGATAATGAATTTGACAATTTTTCACCAAATCATGGAGATCCGAGTCTACAGAGGTCAATTCACATGAACATACTTTACCATGTAGATGCGGACTTCCACGATTCTAGAACTCAATACGCCACCAGTGATCCTCAACTGTCCCACCAAATATTTCCTGATTATTCTTAACGAAAGGCATTAACGCGTTTACTCGTAACATGAAATTCCGACTTACAACAACAGGATGAAGTTCTATTAAATATTGTATTGCCTCAATATCAAGGTCATCTGGGTCTTCATTTGATTTTCTATCTGCGATTAGTAGTGCTTTTCTCATATCTTTCCAATGTAATTCGTTACAAAGTATAAAGTATGTAGGTGGACCTAAACATCGAATTTGTGCTCGTCATTTAATGCTGTACGCCAGTAAACAGCTGAACCTATGGCTCGTACAATATTCGCTAATCACAGCGCAACATTGAACACCTGCATATCCAGAAGTGAAAACTTCACTTATTTCATTGATGCCACGACGCTCGAACAATTCTTGCAATGTTATTAATGGGTATTTATGCATTTGCCAATTCCTCGTTATGAATATCAGCAGGCTCTAATTTGGGCTCGGCAGTTCTTACTATGTTATTTATATCAATTTGAGTGAGTATAGACATAGGCGCCAAAATTTCAAAATTACCATGGGGGCTCGGGCTCCAAAAATTAATATAAGTAGAATCAATTAGACAGACAGGACTAGGCTTCTAGAAACATAGACTTAAATGGGACCAGTTGGCAGATACCCATTTCAGTGCAGGATCGTTACGCTGGACCATTGATCGTCCCTGCATATGATTAAAATTCGTGCATCTTCGACAGCTCGGCTATACTTGGCTTTAGCAGCACCATTGGCGTAGCCAGAATTTTGCCTTGGGGCGAGGGGAAATTTGCAAGAAGTGATCCTTGCAGCTTCGAAATTTTTGGGTTCTTTCACGGTATTTTTGGGACTTCTAATGGCGGGGATGCGGCCATTTAAACAAATTTATGATAAGAATTTATAGTAGAACGTTACTTATATTATAAATGTATGAATTTGAATATTCGTGTAGGACAACGACGTAGCTATAGCTTTTATTTTTTCGGGTTCCACGCCCAAAAACGTTTATTTATAGTATAGACGACAGTGCTAGTCTATACTCACGTCTTGATATAAAGGATTATTTGCCACGAGCCACCTCAACGCACAATACACTCGCTCACGCGATATCGAAAATTCACGGACAATGTTCAAATTATCAAGGGTTCAGTGACAACTACTATTTCGGATTCACTAGCTGATCTTGGTAACATATTTGGAAGCCTCTTACTTACTTCAAAGATATCTTGAGCAAATAACACTGCCTGACCACGAAAACCATATTGATCGAAGAGTCTACTGAATTTTATAATTTTCACAAACGGTATAATTCGCGACAAAAAACGCTGTTGTATTTGTGTTAGAACACTTAACTGATCAGGTATAGGACTGGGATCCAGCTTATTCTAATAAGCTTTTGATGGTGCTGTTGTTTTGTTACTAATAACATGAGTCCGACATTGTGAATATAATATCAGTCAGTCTTTACTTATCAATTGTTGTAGAAAATATGATAAGGCAGCTTCATTATATCTGACATAAGAGACTTGTTTTGGGTAGCAGCATTTCGTACAAATATCGCATAAATATGACAACCACATGTATGTATTTGCTTTGATTTCACAACTATGGATTGACCCCCTTTACACACCTCAACCATCTCTTTTTTTTTTCATAAAATTCTATTGTCACCAGAACAAATTTGAATTTACCCCCTTTACACCTCGCACCCACCCCTTACTTCCGAGTTTTCTCATAAAATTGTATTATCACCAGATCAAATCATAAATCTGAAAACCGCATGTTCGTTTTGATTCCCAAAGTTATGAATTTACCCCCTTTACACCCCTCACCTACCCCCTACTTCCGATTGTTTTTCATAAAATTGTATTGTAACCAGATTAAATCATAAATCTGTAAAGCGGATGTTCGTATCTATTTTCATTTCAAAGTTCTGAGTTTACCTCCTGTACACTCGTCACACAACCCCTACTTTTGATTCTTTTTCATAAAATTGTATTATGACCAGACCAAATCGTAAATTTGAAAACCACATCTTCGTATCTGTTTGGATATCAAAGTTCTGAATTTTTCCCTTAACACCACTCACCTCCTACCGCATGTTTGTATCTGATTTTATTCCAAAGTTCTGGATTAACCCCCTTAACACCCCCCACCCCCTTTTTTTGTCATAAAATTATATTGTCACTAGATGAAATCATAAATCTGAAAACCGCATGTCTATATCTGTTTTCATTACAAAGTCCTGAATCCATCCCCATGACACCCCTCACCCAGCCCCTACCACCGATTTTTGTTCATAAAATTCTATTGTCACTAGATTGAATCATAAATCTGAAAATAGCATGTTCGTATGTCTTTTGGTTCCAAAGTTCTGAATTTCCCCCCTTCACACCACTTTACCACGCCCTACACCCCAAATTTTTTCATAATTTTGTATTGTCATCGGACCTAAAGTCCGTCGATTTTAATCTGATATTCGAAAGGAATGTGAGCTGTTGGCACTCTACATTAGAACGCCAATTGTCACCTGACGTCACACCTGTTTTTGCCATATACTCTACCCCCTCGGAAAGTGTCAGATTGAAAACGACGGACAATACATTCCTGTGCCAAATTTCATTATCGGTTCACGGGAAGTGTGTCAAAAATGAATCGAAATATTTGATAGACAGACAGTCAGACAGTTAGACCGCCAGGCTGTGTGAAGCTAAATAAAATCGTTTAATAATGAACACATTTACCATGTTCATGCTTCCCGTTAAACCGTTTTACCAAAAAACCTTTTACTATAAAACGCTTGTATAAACACCCCATGAACCGTTTCATCTCGTTAAACCGTTTTGATTTGATACGTTTTGAAAATGTGTTTTAAACGCTTTGAAAACGGTTTAAATATTGCGTAAAGATCTCAAACCGTTTTAAGGGGGTACCAGCACTGCTTGGTACGACATTTAAAAATTGTTTTAGGGAAAGCCTCATAGAAGTATGAACACAGGATAAAACGTTTTAAGGTCAAAAACGTTTTAGTGGTTGAAACGGTTTAAGCGAAGCATAAACTTGGTAATAGATAGATATATTCGTTATAACTGAAACTTGGGTAAAAATAAATTAAATAAATTTTTACGATTTTTAATGCTACTAGAGATAAAAGAGGTGCAGGACTGGTAATATTTGTTCATAAAAAAATTAAATTTAGTAGGTATTGTTGAAAAAATTGAAAATGAAATTTCCTATATCAGCCATATAGGAAATTTCATTTTCAATTTGCATCAAATCTTTTGGAATTACAATATGCGGAGTCTATAGACCTCCGTCATAACCATGAAATACTTTCTTTGAATTCCTGGATAATAAGCTTGAAAACCTGGAAACAAAATATTGAAATTGTTTTTTTCTCCAAACGTCAAAAAACGTCACTTTGTTAACCCCTGTCAAGAAGTCAGAAATTTAATTTCTATACTGCCGGTCAAATCCAGCGGGTTAACACCTGTCGAGGTGGTTATAGAAGTTCAATTTCTATGCTGCTTGGCAACCCCAGCGGCAGCAAAAGTACTTTTAGTGCCGCTCGTACTTTTACTGCCGCTCAACCATTCACTTACCCCCGAGCATACCCCATTAGTTTGGAGAAAAAATAGCGTGTTGCATACGGAGTATAATAGAAGCACTTTTTTGTGCTTCAGCAGTATTGCAAGCCTCACTACGTTCGGCTCGCAAACCTACTGCTTCAGCACAAAAAAGTAAAGCTTCTACTCCTAATACAACAATATACTATTTTCTTGCTGACATGAATATTGATATTCTTAAAAATAGTAACAATTCAATGAGACTATTATACATTCACAAAACTAATAACTTTGAATTGTGTAATAGAAATGTCCGTTCAAGAGAAACGCATAACAGTTCAACTTTAATAGACCATATTGTGACAAACTTGACTTTGCATTGAGCCATGGATCGTCGGTTTGATACTGTGCTTCGGTCTTTATTGGTAGTAGAAATCCTTAATTTAATTTACGGTAGTGGTCAAATTCCAATATTGTTTTTCTTGTCTGGCTGCACTTTCAGATTCAATTTTACCGCATAAACTAAGTAGCATAAAAAGATAAACTAAGTACTAAAATTCCGCTCTGACCTAAATCTTTAGCTGAAAAAGGAGTTCTGAAATACAATTTCTATGAGGAAAAGGACTGGTATTTCATTTATTACATAATAACGTTGTCCTTTTGTGAGCTGGTGCGTTTTTTTCAAATATCTCCCTCTTTCCAAGCAAATTTCGTTTTAGGCGTCGTAATATTCTCTCATTAAAATCTGCGACAAAAGGAGACTTATTCAGCCTTTGTCGTTTCTCCAACACCACCCCTTAGTCTTAAATTAAAAGCTAGTTTTTGCATATACTTTTTAGTTAAAAATAGACAAACCAAAATTTGAAATAAACAATACAATATGGGCTTTGTTAAACAACAAGAAAATAATAATAAACAATATATGAAAATAGAAGAAAAATATCATTAATACAAATATTAAGAAAATATTAAACTAAACAATAAATGGGAAATATAAAAATTGGACACTTAAGAGTAAACATTACAAATCGAATACTTACCAAAACAATTACTACAATAACTACATATTTTTCCCAAAAAAAAGGCAAATCCGCTTTCACACCCACCCCGATTCTTCCACCACTACCACTAAAATGTCTCTAAACATTTTTTCTTAACTTTAACGCAAAACATTTTACTACTAATTACCAATTCCGTTTAAAGTAAATCTCAATTTATCTTTACATTATAATCGCTTGGCACTTAATAAAATTATTTCCAATCAAACTGTACATTCTGCAGTATCCAGTTCGCACGTATTTTGTCCTCCGGTTCACTCCCGCAGGAAACGCATCCCCGACCCCAGCCCGTCCTAGGGAACAACCCTAAGTTACTAACCATTGGCAATGCAGCATCCCCATAGAATCTCGTTCGGGGTTGGTCCCGAATCCGAACGATCGAAGCCGACTGAGGGCGATTGTGTCTACGTCAGTCGATATTTTGGATTTTTTTTTAAGGAAAGGCTTTGAAGGTTTAATGTTTCTTATATAGGGGTTTTGTGTGATTTGAAGCTATTCGGGAAAGATTTCCGGTCGTAAACTTTCGCTATTTAGGAGTTTATTTGCGAATCTAAGGGTTTACTAATTGGTTGATATTGTTTAGGATTTGGAGCCCATTAAAAGCTGCAAGGAAATGTTTGATTGTTGGTATAATTCTACCGTATTTCGTCTTAACTAGTTTATTGTGACTGTAACTCTCTGTTCTCCCTCTAATTTTAACAGATTGAGCTAGAAGATAAATGGTGTAATCGTTGTATTGTAAAATGCCTATCATATGATTTCTAATTATGAGTAAAACAGGGTATGCAAAACAAGTAAAGTTTAAAAAAGGTTATATTCGTTGTGCCAAAAGACTCAAATTTTGAAAATTTTCGCAATTTTATTGGTATTTCTTAAATAATGAAATATTTGTCTAAACATCATCGTCTCAAGTTTTTATTTGTAATATGTAAAAGTTCTGCGCGAATTGTTTCTCTCAAGTATAATAAAACCTATCGGTGACAAAAAACGATACATTCTCATATATGTATAGCTCTAAAGCAAGAGAAATAACACAAAGGGAGAATTGGAGCACAGCGAAAGGGATTGTTTGCAGTTTCATTTTCTTATTAGGATAGTGAGAAGAGGATTAACATGTTAATCGGTTTTTTGGTTACAAGAAAGGTATTACCGTCGCCTTACTGCCTTTTCGAATTTCCAAATGAGAAATGGAGCTTTTTAATTGGATACTTTTATCTGGGTAGTACTTATCTTATTTTACAAGCCAATGTTCTATCAAATTCAGACGAGTGATTGAATCAAAATAGAACTGAAAGGGATTCCGGCGCTCTTTGTAAGTTCTTCGGTGTTGAAACGTCGGTTTTTTTGTCTCTCTGCGTGGGCGATGAAATTTGAAAAAAAGGGCCAATTATTGTTTTTCCGCAACTGCAAGCCAAATGCCATTTAGGCAAGTAGTGGAAATTTAACAATGTTTTGGGAATTGATGAAACTACTCCAAAAAATTAAACCCTGCTTGAGGTGAATCTGCTTCACAAAAATTGCCAGACATTTTTTCCATTAAATTTGATAGGCATTATGAATCATTAAATATTTAATCCCTCTAGAAAACCGACATGTAGCAATCAGGCGCGGATGAATATGTATGCTGTAAAGTATTCACCCTATGGTATAGCAGAACAGATGGATTGACGGTTACTGAAAGTGATTTACCTCTCCCGCAAATATTTTCGCATGAAATTTTGTTTCAGAAGTAATCTACAAAGCCACTAGATGTAACCTGACAAAAGCCATTTCCGCGAAAACTATTTTGAGCGAGCAAAACCTAGTTTGTTGAACTGAGACTTTGTTAAGGAAATCCTATGTGGAGAAAAAAACTATAAGATGAATATGGAGAACCGAAGAAGATGCAAATTTATTATAAATGCAACGTCGTCACCGTCAGCTCTACCGGAAACCAACGGCAACACTGGAATTTCAAATACAATATCCTTTTGCATTTTCATACATCCGGAAAGTTTTCTCAAATCGAACCAAAGCAGAGATTCTCAAAAATGTCAATAAATCCGTTAAAATGAGTAGAATCTCGCCAACATAGAGTTTTCGATAAAACTTTTCCTCGACATCGTTAAAGACATTTCCGATCGATCACCAACAAAAAAAAAACTTTCAAACTTTTAACACTAACTTGACGAGGCCGCTATTAAGCCGCCTTCAAATGCGACGTCTATTTTTATTATCCGAACCCAATAAGCCAACTCTTAAAATTTATAGCCCCGAGTAGAAAAATAAATTCTCAAAGTGGATCGATGCTCATTTCCTAAACGGCGATTTGGTTATACCGCGCCGGCCGATACTGGGAAATTAGACGGATTAGACCGATCCGCGACTTTCCAGTTTTCATTTTCCAGGTTTCTCCGTCTCGACTTTGATGTTACGGGTTTGATTTTTAATTAAAGTTTAACTAAAATGGATATTCGATAAATTTAACCTTCTTGTTTTTAGCCGTTTTTTTCAGTTGTCTTGTTGAGAGGATTTGAGCTACCTCAAGGCTCAAATCTATTCAAACCTTTGCAGAGTTGGGGTCTTATTTTTGAAGTTGTGTTCTGTTTTAGCAATCCGGCAATCTTAGTTGAAAATGGGTTCCCTTTTGATATGGGAATAAGCTCTTAGTAATTTTTGGCAATAAGGCCCCTTTTGAATAAGGTTGCTATGTTGTCACTAGGTATATTCACAGTGCCCTGCTAGAGGTGACAGCTGTAAAGGGTGTTGTGTATAGAGTGCAGCCTCACACTCTGGATATAGGCTTGGGTATTTTGTGATATGTGAGTAATACACCAGAAAAGGTTTCATACTGATTTATTAATTGAAATGAGCCGCTATTTATATATAAGGTCCATTTTATTAATTTTAAAATAAATCCTATAAATTGTTTACGGCTAATTTTGGATGCTTTTCAAGATTAGACATCCTGGCTGCCAGCAATCTTGGTCAGCTGGCACCGGTGTCAGTTTCGTGGTTGCTGGTGAAATTTCAAAGGTATTCCGTTGAAGCGATCTTCTTGACATTTTGGTTTCGGCTTGTGTTTCCCATACTCGAGATAACCTAAAAGTGCTAAGAATGTGATGGTGATAAGTATACTCGATGTAACAGTACTGAATACTGCTAGGTGGTGTATGGATATCTGACTCTTCCTCTTTGATTTTATCTAGAGATGCTGAGAGTTCTAGAACTGGTTCTTCTAGAATGTCGTGCCCTATATTGAAAACGGAAGCATCTCATCTGTTGTGTTTGGGTTGATCGGTTGTGCCATAGATGCCAAAACAATGACTGATTCTGCTCTTTTTGGAGTCAACATGTTTTAATTGGTCTTGATGATGCAGTTCTGGGATATGACCAAAATTCCTGTTTTGTTGAGTGTCACATCTTACATCTTCACGAATGCCATCGCAGATTATTACCACCTTAAGTTGATCAGCGCTAATAAACATCCAAGCATTGGATGTATTCAAACGTTTCCATGTGATACTAGATATCAACGTCTTCCTTCGCAGTGTGCACGACGTATTTTGCGATCGCTGATAGACTTCATCAATTATGCAGTTGGGAGTGGCGTGAATGTTTCAAGTCGTAGTCGGTGAACAGATGAATGCATCTTGACTGATGCTGATGCAATTTCTTAGCTCAGCTTCACCGAGCTGGAAGTATAACTGTGAATTTTGGTCTACTGCAATTCATTTGACACATCGAGTATCCAGTAGCCTTTTTTTGTTATTTTTGTTGGGATTGGTGTTGCCTTGATGAGCAAAAATTTGTTAGTTTCTGTAATGATGAAGTATCCAAAAATTGTGGATGAAGTCCTTGCTGTGCTGAACTTTAGTCTGCAGGATTAAGTACGAGATTATCTTGATGTTTGTTGGAAGTTTCTTGTTGGCCGACGCTATGGTTTCCTCAACGTGAGTTGAACTTCAAATAGATGTCCACGGTGATAATGGATGTCCAAAAGTTTTTGATGATAATCAGTGACTTCATCTATGTAATTTGCCACGTTTTCATACGCACTGAATAAATGAATGTTAAGTTGTTTTCGTCAACTCGGCTGTACCAGTTTTGCATGTTATTTATTGCTTTAATGCGTTCCTGAATCTTTCTAGCTGATTGCTGTCTAATTCTTCAATGTCTGCGTACACTTTATCGTTGACTCCAAATATTGATGTGGGTAATTTTCCCATAAATCCTCGCTTATTACGATTGGTGATCACGTTCTGCATCCCTCTGTTGTTCATCTACTCGACGTGTTGCTATTTCTTTTGAAGGTGATGAATTAACGATGAACATTCCGTGTTAGATGCTAATTCTCTGGCCCTCTCACAAAGAGACGAAACTTGCTGAATTGAAGAATGTATGTTGATGGTGTCATTGCTTCCAAGTCATCCTTCTCTGTTGGAATAAGGATTAGTTCATGTATGGGCCGTTTTGTAGGACCTCCTTATGCATTTTTTAAAGTGACCACTCGTACCATATTATCGTCTTGTGATGGGTGGATTTCCGTTATTCTACCGAGGGGCCATTTGCTAGGGTTGATGTCTTGCTCTTTTATAATCATAAGATCTCCTACACGTGGGTTGATCTGTTGATTTTGTCATTTGTAGCGCTGCTATAGCCAATGTAAGTAGTGGGACGTCCATTTTCTCCAGAAATTTATTTTAGTTTTCTGTGTCAAACTTCATCTCTCGGTAAGATCTGATGTTATTGCTGTGGAGACTGGATCCGGAGGTTCTACTATAGACCTTCCAATTAGAAAGTGACCAGGAGTTAACACTTCTTCCCAACAACTCTTTGCAGGTGGTACTCCATAGATTTGACTGCCGCCTGCCATAGCTCGCCAAAATGTGGTGCTCCTGAGGGTAGGAAATGCCACTGTATTCTCACTGATGATAGCTCGTCTGGAACATTGAAGTTCTGGATGGTCGTGACTATTTCCTTCTGAAGGATTCTGCTAGTTCCGACGAAATTAGTGCCGTTGTCACTATAGAGATGTGCACAGCGTCCTCTTCGTGAGGTGAAGCGTCGGAAGGCTGCCAAAAAGGTGTCGGATGATATGTTGCTTACGACTTCTAGATAGACTGACTCGTTTGCAAAACATATAAACATGGCGATGTATCCCTTGTATGCGTTGTGTCCTCTTCCTTTAGTTGTCCGAATCTGCAGTGGCCAGGAATAGTCTACGCTTGCATGCTCGAAAGGATGAGATGTGATAGTGATACTCTTGCTGCCGGCAGAATGCCCATGTGGTGGTTGTAGTATAAGATACCATAAGGAAGTTTTA